AAAWCCAAATTCCACTAACAATGAGAACTGATATTTTAACAAGAGGTGATTCAGCCTTTTGGAGCTCAGTGATCATTCAGCTGTCTGTAATATCACACTGCTCTGCAGGTTGACAGCTCATATTTGAGCTCCAAGTGATTGCAGATAAAACAGCCTCCACAAGCTCCCCAACATAAACAGAAAAAAAAAGAAAAAAAACACTTATCTACACAGACCAAGGTCCAGTATTTCCCCATAGAGTAATGTCCAGTTGGGATTTGGGGGTTCAGCTAATCCTGCACAGATGTCCACTCACAMAGGTAATTAACATTAAAGCTCATACAGTAGCAGAGCAATTTAGCTCCGTGATTTGGAGTTATTATTCTCACTGAGCTGGATCTGGAGACCATGAATGTCAGTTCCCCTGCAGGGATGGTTTCTCTCTGCCCAGCTGTGATATTTATCTTTGCTGTCTGGCACAGCACAGCATCTAGAGAGCTGATCAGGCTCCAACCAGCAAACACATGGGGAAGAARGGCAGCTCAGCTCCAGCAGCATGGATCCCTGCATTGGCTGCCTCCACCCTCATGCTCTCAGCACTGTGGTGCAGGAGCTCTGACTGCGGCACATCATTTAGAGCAATTCTGGTAGATCCAGATTGCTGCAGTGTGCAACATCCTGTATCACCTTACAGCCCTCTGACGCTGCACTGATGGGCACCAGCTGAGAGCCTCAAACCTTTCCTTGTGAGCCCTTTCATGTCTGTAGGTACGGAGGCAGGAACACGCCTTCCATCACCACATCCAGCACAGCTGACAGCGAGTGCTATTTCCTGTCTGGAAACACAGAGGCTATCACATTGGTGAGCTAAAGCTGTAAAGCTCCAAAATCACAGCCAGACATCAATGTGCCCTACAGAGGGTCTCAGGTGTGCAGTAACCCACCTCCACCGTTCCTGCAGCACCTAAATGCATTAATTCACGGGGCTAATCCACTCCTGAAACACCAACACTGCAATACATCCGCTTTCATAAACTGCTGCAAAATAAACTAAAATTAATTTTACTATTCAGAATGCTGTCTCAAGGACAGCAATGTATTTTCAAAAGGAAAACATACTCCTTCCAAGAGTATTCTACCCACATAAATAGCATTGTAGCCTTAAATTCTCCCTTTAGCTTCCTTGTTCTATTTAGCTTTTCACCATCTAATAATAGAGCAAGTATCAAACTTCAGAGCATTCCCTTGAATTATTTGCTCATATTTTTCTTGGTTTATGACCTCCTTTCCTAACAGGCACCATAAATTAACCTGCTTTTCTATTAAATAGCCCATCWAACTGCAATATGCCCAACAGGGATTACCAGACCTACAGCTACCTCAGCTTGTCTGAGTATCTTGTTTGAATGGGCATTTTTTACCCTAAACAGAAATCCCTGTTGAAAGCCTTATGGGACAAAAAGTCTTCACACTCCCAAGTTTTGTCAMAGTTCTGCTGAGGACAGAAAAAACACCACCAGGTGAATGGGGGTGAATGGTCACTGTATCTTGTTCTTCCAAGGGCTCCTTTTCTTGCTGGGGAGGCCTCTTCAAGCATTCTCTCTGTATCAGACTTGCCATCTCTCTCAATAAATTAGCCTTTTATCTAATTTGTCAATCCATCTACATCAGCAACATTTATTTCATTAATTGGAAGAATTAGCCCTTTGTAGCAAGTTGAAGGCTGTGAAGCCAAAATATACTGTGCTTTCTCCCAAGTGACCCAGAGACCCTTGGATGAACTCTTGGGGTGACATTAAAATGAATAGTTATATAGAAAAAATAGCATTTAAATGTTTATTTAATGTAGCTACCTTCCCAAAAAATTGAACTTTCAACATTTTTTAACATCTGGTTGCCTTATTTTTTAGCTTGTTTCTCCAGCAGTATGGGCAGAACGTCTTCAATTGAGAGAAGTCTGTGTTCTTAGCCACATGGACTCTTTCAGGTTACAGGCAGTATGGAGGAGGAGAATATACACAAATTCCTTTAAAAATTACCTTAGGACTGACATGTTAAATTTTAGAGGGCCAAGTCCTACTGTCCATTATGCAGCTGAGATCAGTGAAGCTTGTCTGGAGCTACAATTGTGTACACAATGCCAGTCACAGCAGGTGCTGCTGCATTTTAAGAAAAAAGGGATTGCATGAGGTAGAGCAAGCTGAATTACATCTTCATAGAGGATTATTTTTTGTTTTAAGTGTCATGGATCTATTTTAATTGAGAAGAAGATGTGTTACCCCACAAACCTCCCAAACATGCAGGCACACGTACACACATACTTCTTTATACAAATACTTATATATTTACAGATAACATTATAGCACCGGATATATTGGTAGATAGTGTGTGTTACACATGCAAGTTATGCACTGTGTACTTGAGAGTCTTAAACRTCTCTCTTACCACTAGACCCTTAGAGCAGCCCTGGGATTTTTTCCCCCATATTTCCTTGCTTTATGATGCTCTTTGTTAACAGAACACAAAATAAACCTGCTTTTCTAATGAAGAAAAGAATAGGTTTTGTCCTACCTATAAGAATAATCAGCACTCCAATCCTACACAGCATTCTCCCACCTGCTCACACAATACTGTACTCGTGCTCCTGGAAACAGCCTAAAATATCATGTTCACTTAGGTGACTACCAAGAACTCCAAAACTCTCATAATCACCCATTTCTAGCATGAACAAATCTTCCATGGAGGGCCTTCTTCCTCTTAAACGCAGACCTTTGTGCTCACATTTGCCTGTGATAAAATACGTGTTCTTTTCAAACATGCCCTTAAAAAGCCCTTGGTTTACAAAAAGGTCCTACCAGAAAGAAACATCAAAATATTTTTTTAGCAATAACCTCAATATTTACAAATAACTGGGGAAAAATAATAGTCAGTTGAATAGCACTGGACTAGTAACCAACCAGGCTGATTTCCTGATTAAAAACCCTTTTCTACCCTTGTGATGATGATAACCATTTCATAGATACTTCATACAAAATAATTTTAAACCTTGCGATATGGACTGCTTTTATCTCCCACTAATTATCTTAATCTAATTTATTAAGTGAGCAGCCTGTCATCACATTTAACTTTGGCCACAATATTTRAAATCAGGTTTAATTAAAACTACTTCCATTGACAGCTATTATTTTATAATCTCTAGCTAATTTTATGTCCTAAGAAAAAAAATCAATACAATTAGGACTGAAAGTATTTAGTGCTATCTGTCCTAGCTCTCCTACATTCAGGTTTTCAAAGTKCAGTATAATTTTCTGAAATAATAATATACACACATTAAAATGGAATCCACTCCCCTGTGCATGGAACAACTTGTGGGGCCCTGAAATTCATGCAGGCAGGCAATGTGAGCCTCTGCCACACCATCCATGTTCCTGGATYAGGGAACCATRGAATCATTTAGACTGGAAAAGACCTATAAGATCATCAAGATCCAACATCAGCCCAACACTGCCAAGTCCACCACCAAGTGCCCACTTTGGATACCCTCAAAGCTACTAAAAACCAGTGAGAATTGCTGCTTAACTGACATAAATAATCAGAACTAATTAGAAAAATCATTCCTAAGTAGCATTTTCCATATGTCTGCTCTTGAGGAGAGGAGCATTCTCAAGGAGGAAGGGTCACTGCTCCAGGAGGGAAAGTTTTCGTGTCTCTGTCTTGAGTGGGCTGGGACAAAGTCCAGCTCTATCCAAGGTTTCTGGTAGCTGAAGCAACCCTCTGCAGGTTGGCATGGCAGAAGTTGTGTCATGACTTCGACTGTGCAAGGAAAAATGGAATTTTACTGCCAACTGGACCACAGAGAAATGAGGCCTTGAGATGTACTAACTACCTCCAGGACAAGGGTTTAGGGAAGATATTTAGGAGTTTTGACACCMTTGCCTTTGACAAGCTGTGACCCCCGCTGTGTCATTAAGTGGGAAGAGAAAAGTGAGTTGATGTTTTACTAACAAAACAAGACAGCCCAATGTATTGTGGGATATATGACCATACGTAACTTTATATATAATATATAAAGTGGGTAAAGCAAGCTATAAAAGGACATGTTTAAAAAATTATTCTTTGAAATTTTTCCTGAATGTGACTAACATCTGTTGGTCATTTTGTCTGCCAGCCCAAGGAAGTTCAGACTATGAAAGAGGTAATGAACTGTGAGCAAAGCTTTGCTTTGCAAGATTGTTCCTTTGATTTTCTTTGTCAGAACTGTAGTGGCCTCTGACCAGYCACAAAATAACAATCATTAATTGGGCTCTTTTTGTTCTCAGCGTAATCTTGCAGCCAGCAGAATCATGTTCTCCAGCCCATMCTCATCCATGAGCAGCACAGTAAATGCTGCCTCGAGGAGAACCCACTTACAGCAGATATCTATTTAAGGTCTGTTATTATGGCTCATCTGGAGTAACAAAACCCAGGTGTTCCACATAGCAGCTGCTTGTCASCCTTCCTGATATCTTGGCAGGTCTGCAAGTGAGGAGAGATCTGAAACCTTGTGCAGACATAATACATTTCATTCCCAAGAAAATGAAACCACGCTCGGAGTTTCCCTAAGCGATGGTTGTAACAGGAGACACGGCACTGTCAGCGCCTGTGTGGGAGCACCACTTGATGGAAATTGGGAACCTTTGTGCAATGCAGACCCAAGCCTAGAAAGACAAATGGGATCAGCTTCCTAAGAATGCAATGTTTCTTCTCCAAATCACTGCTTTTTATGGGTGCTCTGTCACCTCTAAGCTACACTAAGAGACAGAGAAAATTGTGATCACCTGTGCTAACTAATCCTACCATTCCCACAGGTTCCTTGGCAGAGTGGATGAACCATCTGAAGAAAAGCTGATCTTTTATAGAAATATTCATCTGTTAAAGTCCTGAGATATTCTGAGTTTTCTTCTAACTTTTTGACTCACCRTAGTGTCAGAGCTACTCCTTAACCCAAAGCAAGTTATCAAGGTCTTTCCTACCCCTCCTACCTCTGCCTCTACCGCACATTTCTGAGCTGTCGACGCGGCTCCTTGTGTGGTCTTGAAACTGATGCTGCTCAACAGCAGCCAAAAGAGAGGGGAAAATCTGCTTTTTTATTTATATAAAGCTGGCTAAGAGTTTTTATTTATTTAGAATGGACTTTAAACTGTGCTTGACTCTAAATAAATAAAACACGTTATTTTCCCTCCCTACCGGTTGCCACCAAGCCGTGTGAATTCCAAAGACCACACAGACAGCAGCGGCTGTGTGGTAACASGGGGACTGATGCAAAGGGAGGCAGCTCACCAGAGGCTGGGGATTGCAGGGCTTGCAGGTGAAGGGAGCACTGTGAAAGGCTTGCTTTGAGAGCACAGATAAGCACAACTGTGAAAAAGGCCTGCGTTCCTTGGATGTTGTGCTGGTGCTGATCCTTCTGCTTCCCTGTCTTCCTAGCGCATTTCTGCTCCACCCGATGGAGCCTTACCAAGTCTCTGTCCTTCACAGTGACAATTCTCTGTGAGAAACAGCAGCACAATGCTGGGGGGACTCACAGGAAGGGCAAGGTAGCACATGACAGGGTTCAGTTTAGTCGAGAGGAAAGCAAGAAAGCATCTTTAAGATTTATTCCAGGCTGTCCATCTGCTTTAGCTAGAGCCTTGGAAAAATAAATTTGGATGCAGTTTTGTGCACTGTGCATTAAGATGACCCTGCTTGAGCCAGGAGGTGGGACCACATAACCCAAGGAGGTTCTCTCCAGCCTTACCCATTCTGTGATTCTCTGGGGGAGATGGAAATCTTTTTACTCTTCAGTCAGTCACAGGCAGCACTTCTGTGACACGCATGTCTTCTTTTAGCTTTCAAGTCAAAAATTCAATGGACCAAATGAAACTCATCTTTGGAGCAGCCCCTGGGATGAACTTAGATCAGTGTCAGAAGAAAAGTAGATGAAAATTGTACAATAGAACTCCTTTGTACCCTGCTCACCTCATCTCACTCAGGGAACAGCAAAGACACGGTCCCTAGAGTCCCTCATACGAGCATCACTGATTCTGTCACATGCTCAGTACATGGTGACTTCAGACAAGGTGCCAAGTTCAGACAAGCTCCATTCAGATCCTTGGGAAGCACCAGTTTCCTGGGACACGTATCTGCCAAGGGAAGCACGTGCTAAAACTCCCATTGTCTGGAGGAAGGCAGAAATACAAAAGGCAAAGTGCTAACTCCTCCTTTTGGCACCCAGCTGAACCCAAATCTATTTGCTGCTCCCATGGTACCAGTGTTCAGCAAGTGCCATAAAARGCCATGCCTTTATGGAAAACTCCCATTTTAGATCACTAGATAAATAAAGAATGGATCTATCTGCCACTCTGCTTGTTTCTGAACTGTTGCACCATCAATTTGCATTATTTCATCTGTCCTTCCAAAGCTCCTCTTTTGAAAAATACAGGGGAAATCATGAAACTCATCTTCTTTCCAGGTATCTTATTGTCATTGACCATCAACTTCACCATGCCAAGTTCTGCTCCTCACTTTGTTCTTGTGATTTACCAGCTGCCAACTGGAGGAAGAGCTGGCTGCAGACAGTAATTTTTCTGGTAGACTGTGGTCTGCAGTTGATATAAAAGGCCTAACCTTGAYCTCATTGATCCAGCTGAGGGACCAGAATTCACATCTAAAATCATAGTTATATTCAGGAATGCTAAAAATGCAGCAGGCAACACCTCTCTGAGGCAGACCTGTCCTTGATTCAAGTAAGYAATTTTACAAGTTACAGGATAATCCTCAGCAGCAGCGTCTTCTGACCTGGTATGAATGTGAACTTGCAAATTCCTCATTCCTGGGGTGAGCATCAAACATCAGCAGAAGGACCGGGCAACAGTTAGCAGCAGCTACCAAAATGTTTTCTTCTATTTTGGGGGAAAGAAAGAAGGATGAGCGAACTTTTACAATGAAAGAGAGGGGAAAAACTTAATACAAAGACTGGCAAGGCAGAAGTGGGTCAAAGGAGGGTAGGAAACTTACTAGGAGGTCAGGCCAACTGAAAAGCCTRTGTTCTTCTCCAAATAAGGCAGACATTCAGAGTCTATAGCTTGTAAGGCACTTGGCCAGTCAAAGCGAGACATGGAAAACCCTACCACAAGACAGAAAAAAAGACAGAAAGAAAGAAAARCATCCATATCTCAGCAGAGCAGCACGGTTGGCTCAGAATTTGCTGCTGGAGGAAAGGTCAGCAGACAGCCCTTATTCAGTGATGACTGCTGAACATGAAGAGACATAAGCAATGGGCAGCTAACAAAGCAGAGATTATTTGAATGACAGCAAACCCTTCCATCTGGGAAGGGTACTGGATAAAGCAACTATCTCCCTGTATTCCCAAGGATATTAAAAACCAGAAGCAATTCTGAGAGGGGAAGAGATCAATAACTCTATCTRGATTCTCAGGCTCTTTCCAAATCCAGATGGTTCAGGTTCAGGTAACGGTGCAGCACAAACAAATTTCTGTGAAGTGCAGCTTGGCTTTTCCAGATCCATCTTCTACTGACACGCATGGAGAATGCATTGCTGTGTGCTGGCTGCCAGTGGATTATCAGAATCCCACATGAATTCAGGATCCCTGACCCTCAGCTGGCACAACTGGCACAATTCACAGATTGTAAGGCTGCCCCTCAAGCTGGAACTCCTTTGCCCACATCTTGCACCTCCAGGGAAATTCACTTCAGTGCAGCCAAATGCAAAGGCAGACCACAAGTCCAGGTGCCCTGAACAACTGCAGAGGRCAAACACAGCCCTCAGTTCCCTGATGATCCCAGTCTGCAGCACCTTTKCCAGCCACACCACTGGTCTTTGAAGAATAAAGATGGTGAATACTTAGTGCCAAGGACAAGGATGTGGATACTCAATACACAAGCCAGCAACTCCCATTTCTGCTCTTTTGTGTCTTCTCTCTAGATAACACAGTAGGACTTTTCCAAACTACTCAGACATGTTCCAAATAAATGTTCAAAATAGTGTATTCTGACAACTGGGTTGAGGGGCTATGTTTTGACTTTTTTTTTWAAAAAAATAACAACTTTATTCTGATTTCTGGGTGGCAAAAGAGAAAAGACTTAAATTTAAAATGCTTTGGAGAYCCTATGAGAAAACTCTTTATATTTGTGGGTGGTCCTGCAGTTTTGTCAGTTGTCTGACATTTTAATTTCCTGTTCTTCTCTTATGGTGGGATTCTGATTTCCTCTCTCTCTTTCTCCTTTCTCCATTACAGAGACCTAATAGGCATCTCCAGTTCTACCATCTGTTTCCTATTCACTTTTATAAATATTGAAACAAATAATTAATTTGGTGAACAGGCATGATGTAGCCTGGCTCATCTTCAGTCAATGTATAACTTCTACCAGCCCTTTCCAGTCTTTCAATCTCTAATAGATATTAGCTCCTTTGCACCACACGCTTCATGGTCTAACTCCTCAATGAAACTGGTCCACCTTTAAATGCTTTCATGTTTTTACATTAGAAACAGCCATTCTGGGTATTGTGTGTCCCCACAAAATGCTGTGTCAACACAGCCCACTTGCAAACTAGCCTTTAATAAACTTCTTGTATTTAGATAATATAAAATATGAAAGAACTGTCCATTGAGTCTGATGAAACAGCCATGCTTGGCAATGCACACTCTGTCCTCAGTGACTCAGTGACTTACACATAATCCTCTGCTAGCAGGAGTGTGATGGTACTGGGAGGAAGAAGATTGGGTCTGCCTTTAAAGCAACCCCAAGYTATTCAAACAGATATCACCCAATGCCTGCATTCCTGTTCCATATGCCACCGCAGTTCTCTGTGTACTGGGAATCTCGGCCCAGGAGATTCCCCCTGAATGTCCAGTTGCCATTTCCATAGGGCAGAGACCATCCTTTTCTTCTGTGGTTGGCTATGGCTCRTGTCTGTGTGATGCTGAATCATGACAGAGCTGTCCCATGCCCATGTGACAAATACAAACCCTAACACAGCACCCAGGAGCACTCCTATTGCTGCAGGAACATACATCTCCTCAATGCCAAGCACCATTTTAATTTTTCTTTGCTCCTTTGAAATGCTAAACTCTGCCTCTCAATACACCAGATAAGATTTTCTGTGTAAGATCAAGCTAACCCTTGCTAGTCACATCTCCCCTGTGTTGCAAGGTAACAAAATCTCTTCAGGATGATTCACTTAATCCTCCATGTCCAAAATCGAGGAGAAATTACAGCAGCCCCAGGAGAGCTCAGCATGGATGTGGACTCCCYTCAGGATGGTGGAAGGGAGCAGGGTGCCCTGGAAGAGGACAGAGAGGCAGCTCAGGGCTCAGCTGTCCTTTTGACAGTCAGTCCATCCAGACTGGCACCAAAGCTCACTCCCTTGGACCAGGGCTATCCCCAGGTGCCAGCAGGCATTGTGTGCCTTCTCTCCTCCTGCAAACACCCAGTGGACAAGACAAAGTCAGGCAYTCACCACTCAGTGGCCACCAGAGCTCAGCAAACCTTGCCCAGACCAACCTTTCCTGTCCTCARATTTGACCATGGCTCTGAATTCACCTTCTGGATGTTTTCTCAGATGAACATGCCTGTAACTTTTCCTTGGGGCTTAAAAAACTCTTTCCAAACCATTTTTCCATATTACCACATGCTGCCCTGGAGATGTCTCTCAGAAATATACATGGTGAGGTTACGCATTCCTAATCCTCACTGGGAACTGAATTGCATAAGAACATTCCAATTATTTTAGGTTATGGAAAAAGTAATCAAGTATTTCAGTCACCACTAAAATGTCATCATTTTATGCATTTCACAAAGAATTCTCTCATTATGTTAGATAGGCCTGGAGAGACTCCAGTCTCTGTGGGTTGCACGCATTCCCCCATTCTGTTCAGAAATTAAAAGCCTTAYTCTGTTTTTAAAGAAAGCCAAGGCATTTAGTGCCCTGCTACTGACCCAAAACTTGATGGCAGCATACCTGATTTCTCTTACAAACTGATTTGGCCTTTTCTGAATTCACAGCTGTGTGCACAGCATTTTCCCGCATGCTTTGTTAAAAATAATAATTGCACATGAAGAAA